GTCATTAATGTTATTTTTTCATAACCCTCTCTACGTGTGTTTGCTGACAAGAATGTGCAAGGCTTTTTCGACTGTACTGAATTGATGTTCAGCAAAATGCACGACATTAATACGGCACGAGCTGAGGATTGGGGACAATTAGATAAGACGCATGCGTCAAATACATGAAGGAGACAAAAGGTCATGTTGCTCGGGATCTATCGAGGAGCAGCATGAAGCACTGTGGAAAGGGGATTCTGTCACTTTTCTTTCGTTATGCATGCACCTACTTCAAACCCACTTTCCATCCACTCGTGTCATGGCGTAACGATCATCTTGTCCGTCCATCAAACGAGGTCGTGAAGAAATAAAGAGGCTCTACTGATCCCTTTCGTTTTGCAAATTATCCAGTCTGAACGATTCGCATGGCAGCCAAACCCAGTTGTGTTACTCCATCAGGATGGTTCTGCTCATTGGAGTCTATCTAAGAAGGGATATCATGGATTGGGTTGCAAATATGCGGTACCGCCCGACTCGCAGCCTGCCCTATTCGAGTGGTCAAGAATGGTGCGCCTCGTTCCGGAGCCAAATAAGCTGATAAACCACTGTGACGAATAGATGTTGTGTTGCATAATGTGTCCAGAGTACGAGCAACAAGTCAGCGGCAGCCCTTCTCATTGTCGCCCGACGTGCATAAAGCGCAATCGTGCTTACGGAGAAACTCTTCCAACGCACTCTTCGACCATGACTTCCATGCACTAGCCGAAGTCGCAGCAACTCACACAATTTAGCAAGATTTACAGTGTCAAGGGACTTCTGTTGGAAATTGAAATTAAAGTTGGTGCGTGTGGAGACTGGAGAAGATTTCCTTAGTGCGATGCGCGCCGTGTTTTTGACCTATTAAGGAGCATGCTCATGCAAGTGATAAGGCTAGAACGATTGGTGAACTCTTTCGACTATTCTTTAGCATACCCCCTCCCTTACCTTTAATAACTTTCGGTGGTCTGAGGCCCGACTCTTCGTCAAGCTCGTCTGTTTATCAGGTTACGATCCAACAGGCTCGGAAGATGGTGACGCTGTCGCCCGAGGTCAAGCTTCATCGCCAAGTGCTGCGCCGAGGCGCGGGAGAATTGTTGGGGTAACGGAATACGGGGAAAAGATCGCGTACGATGCTGCGGGCAACGTAGGTGAATTCTTGGTGGTTGTCGGAGTCAAGGAGCGACGCACCAAAGAAAGTGAGATGTTACAGCTCATGCGTGGGGGGGGGTGATGGGACGATTGAATCGCTTCGAAAAATCACAAAGCGAGATTCAAGGACAGCTTTCTAGAAGGCCACATGTAAATAATGGAAGATGTTGAAGTGTCACCAGGAGTCAATTTTCTTACCTCGCGACTGCGACGTGGGTCACGAATGCATATCGATGCGCTGAGTGGGTAACCTCAATTGAACAAATCAGATAGGCTTTCGAAGCCGCCATGTAACATTAGACACTGTCATCATTATTTATAAATTACCACGGCCGCGATTGGAAAGACTTTTCACCGCCGCCGTGAACGATTAACAGGCTGCTCCCCATGTGTACCACCATTATATGATTGATGCCAGAAGACCAGCACCTCGTATGGACAAGTTGCAAAGTACCCTGACTCAAGGCATAAACAGCTTGCACTTCTTTTATTATGTAGTAGAACTGTACGAAGGAGTTGGATCCAAATTTCTGGAGTGGGGACGTCGTTTCGAGATACAGGTGAAATTGGCCCAATCAGCCTATGTTTTTATGGCCGGAGGACGTCAAAGTTACTCTTCTTAGACACTATATACAAGGTATGGCCGATCGTTACTATCATAAAAGCTGTAAATTTGGTGGAACCAAAAGGCACTACACTTTTATGCGCAATGGAGAAGATGCTTAAGGTATTTATAACAATATTGCCCTCGAGCAATCTATGGGACTGCTTACGAAACTATAGGACCCGAAGAAAACATGGACTGAACAGTATCTCTATCCGGTGGCTGTGGAGGAAGTGTCGTAAAAGAGCTGTCGAATACCTCGTCGTTATCTTTAAAGTGTGATACGCATCACAATACATGAAGGGGGTTGTGCTGATGGCGGAGGTGTGTGGACAAAGGACGGATTATTCGAAGCAAGCCCTAGAGCTGGTCCATTTTAGCAGGCTTGGGAATCCATGACAAAGAAACCAGTTTTGAGAGGTTCTACGAACGTTGCCCGAGAGTCGCGATTTCGTGAGATTCAGAGGTGACATGAATGTGGCGAGATTGGATATTAAAGACAAATGTGTCCTATTTGCAGCGGTGAAAATTTAAACGGCAACGTAAACGTTAAGCTGGCGTTTATAGCTTATGAATTTTCTCCTACTGGATCATGGATATTAAATGTGGATCAAGCCGTCGTTTATGTAGCAACGAGATGTGATTGGAAGACTTTCAGGACGCTAAAAGATTTTGTATTCAGGCTAATGAAGAAGAGCTGATGATTAGCAAAGTGAAAAATGTGACACTGCAAGTATTGACGGATGGCAAGACACACACTGTAAGGCTTACCGAAGTTTGTTTCGTGGTCGGACTTGCTCACAATATTGATTTTAAACGAAAGATTGGATGCTATTGGGTATGTGCTAGGATCATATTTATTGCTTTTCGTTTGGACAATTAAGCCCACTTTTGCAAAAAGGTTTTCAAAATCAGCAGGATTTGTCGGTTGTACTAATGTTCAAAAAGGCAACGACTTTCGCGTCCAACCGATTAGAAGTAAAAAAATTCATAATTGTAGAGCATTACTTGTACGCCATCAAAGTAATCCCTAATGCGAAACTTACCATTTTAATGAATAGGATGTAGGTAAGAATGCCTCTTAAACAATAGCTAAAACCTGCACGCAAAATGTTCCTCAACATTTGTTGACGGCAATAGAAGTGGCTACTTGGGTAAAAACCGGTTTCATCCTCTTCTTTATTGTCCTACTGTCTTTATTACTTACGTTCCCACGCGGATAAAATACAACTCCATCAATCCTTTCTTTGCCCTAAGGTGGAGGGGGTCTAATAGTGAAAGGACATTAGGCTCGGTCTCCATTCTGGCCAATTCGTGCGTTCCGTATTTAGAAGGTCCAGTTCGGCCGCTCGTCGTATATTTGTATCGGACAGTCGCCCTGGCACACCTAATAAGACTCTAGCGGATTTCTTAATCCCACCACTCCAGCTTTGGCTCCTTTTTTTAAGCGCTACCTGGATTATCGCCGAATCGACCCGAGCCTCCTTGTCTTCCATATACGACGACTGCCAATCCAGTAATCGAGATCTGCAACGAAGATAGTTTGGAAGTTCCGGAAGGTCCAAGAGTTACACTCACTTTAGTTGTAACGGGGTTACACGCGATTATTGAACCGGTTATGTTTTGTGTCCACACCAAGTAAAGATCGATGGACCTGAGTGGTACAGTTTTGGTACCACGTACTTTAGGTAATACCGCACCTTATCTGGTAAGGATGAGGAATCAGACTTCTGTCATACGATCGTAATTTAGAAATCGGTCAGAAAGGGTTTTAGGGTTTTATTACCGCATCTAAAAGAATAAATAAAGTTCAGTTATCCTTTTGAATAGTGGACACAAGTGCCTAGTCAAGGCACAGCGTGTTGTAAGAGAATTAGCCTTGTCAAGGCGTTTACTCTTGTTTAACTAGTAGTGAATAGTTAGCGTGTGATTCTTTAAATCGTACCTTCCTTTGGAACTGGGATTGTTAAGCTTGTACGCTTGAACGACTGTACGTCGTTTTTAGTTTAATATAACTAAAAACTCTTTGAGTCTAAGAATTCCTCTGCTAAGGAGCACAAAGTGTCCCCGCTACACTCGGTATCACTTATTGTCAATCTACACCTGATTTTTCACAGACTGAATCCTCTGCGAGTATGGAAATCGCCATAAACCTTTCTGAGGCCGAGCGGATCACGCTTGAGAAGCTTAAGGCGTTGGTAGGACTAGATCAAGTGGCTCTTATAGTGGTGCAAGGTTCGGGTGCACTTTGTGCACGTCTCGAGGCTATATCGAACTTTGAGTCCACCTTGACAGGACAGGTACATGACCCTTTGATTTAATATTCTGCCATACCCACTCGGTATGGTCCAATACCGGACGCTGAGTCAAGGACTCGTCCTTGGTCTTTAGTGTCAAGACTTTTGAGGGAGAAAAGGGACAAAATCCCCTTTTTTGGGTTCGAGAGATGGAGATTGCCATCGGCTCGGCCCTGCTGCGGTCATAGCAGCAAATGTTGGCCTGGTTCTATCGAAGTTAAATAGACGATCCAGGGAGTGGGCATTCACTTCTGGCATCTCGATAGACGAGGCTTTTCCCACCTGGTACATGCTAAAACAGCATCTTTCTCGGATGTTTGCCCTGTCGAATCAGGTGTACCGCGGGCAATCCCGCTTCCTGTCGACCCGTCATTTTAAAAGTGACTTAGTCGATTATGTCCGCAAGTTGCTCGTTCCGGCCCAATTTCGAAGCCGGCTACTCTAACGGACATAGTCCGACCACTGTCGCGGTGTGAAGTCGCGTGTCCCGTCTTAAGCCTATTTCTAAGACAAACGCTAGGCGTACAATCCGGTGATGGAGAATTTGACGGATCCTTTTTCGCAACCATCCCGTCAATACCGTAAAGGGTTGCTCTCGTATATCGATCCTCCACAGATGTTGCATTGTAGATCGGAGCGAGGAAAGCGGAGCAAACGGAGCGGAGAGACCGAAGAGAGTAGAGCAGAAAACACTTGCCCACTAGTTGGAAGATTCGAAAGTGATTGATTATCGGGGCTTACTACTTACTACATGATTTATATGTGGTGTACATATAAATCATGTTAAGCGTCTCATCATCCTACGCGTCTAATCAACTATAATAATTACCGTAAGAACTACGTCGTAAATACTAAGCTGAACAGGCGGTTCGGATTGGATCGGTCACGGTTACCAATACTGGTAGAAAACCGATGTCCGTCAACACGCCCCCTCAATCCGAATGCTCACGAATCCCGAGAGCCGTCGTCATCTCCTTGTGGCGTGGTCCATGAAGTCCCTTCGTCATGATGTCCGCTAACATCACCGCAGTTTCACAGTACTTGAGCTTCACTTCACCGTGCTTGACCTCGTCACGGATGTGATGGTACTTGATATCAATGTGCTTGGCACGGCCGTGGTTGACCGGGTTCTTCGTCATCTTGATACATGACTGATTGACTTCATGAATCATGAGTTCCGGTCCTTCTTCATTGGCAGCCATCACGATCTCACAAAGCAGACGATGAATCCACTTGCCCTCTTGAATCGCCAAGCTGAGTGCGATGCATTCAGCTTCAGTCGTGGACAACGAAACACTTGGCTGCTTCTTGCTGCCCCAGCTCACTGGCGCACCGAGTAGCATGAACGTGTACCCCGATGTTGACTTGCGGTCGGTAAGATCACCAGCCCAATCCGCATCCGAATATCCACGGAAGTCAATCCTTGCACTTGGCTTGTAGCAAATTCCATGCGTCTTGGTGCCTTGTAGGTAGCGAAAGATACGCTTAACACGCCTCGTGTCGTCGACCGGATCGTGATGTCCTGCGACTGCGCAACATGTATGAGCACCACGATGCTATATTGGTGGACATAGAGGTAGAAAGAAGACATATCTCACATTTAGTAGCGGCTTTACTGGCCCGCTAGTATTAGTTCGTGCGTAAGTACGCCTGCGCATGCGAAGTATGTCAACAAGTGATGTCTTGGACTTCTTTTCTTGCGCCATTAAAACCCTTACCCATTTAGGCAGAATGCTACTTTTTGAACGTACCGTGTCTTTGGTATCACCGCAGAACCACAAAAGAATATCGGCACTCTCTTGGGTACGTTACTAGATTTCGTAAAATGGCAAATCTTGTCTCTGTATTTGAATTTATCAATGCATCTCCATGTGCGCAAGTTTAAGTGACACGATCTTACGTCTTAATAGGTAGCCTTATGAACTCTTCTCCTATCGATACCCACACTTAACTGCTAAATTCTGGCTATCCGTGTTTAAAACACTAGTAAAGCGCCTTGAAATGTCGACATGTACCGATTCTGAAAACAGATGGTCAGACATAACGTATCAGCTGCGTTCTTTTGGAAATACGTCGAGGTTATGTTCATTCGTTTGCGAATTAGAGCGAATTTCGCCAATGGTGAAATTCGCTATTTAAAAATTGGTGCATGCGTCGACGGCACAGACAACAATCTACGTCAATGGCTTGCACCGTCCACGCCCACCCACCTATTAGAGTGTAACTGTATATTGACGGGAGGGACTCATTCGAGCGAGGCCAAAGTGGCACTTACTCATCAAGTGTTGACCACGAGGTCGCTACGCATGACGCCAATTTTTATCACATCGACCTTAGGTGAAGAAGGAAGTAAGAGCAAGGGTGCTCTTACCAACCACGATACTGATCTGACCGCAGTGTGCTTTAAGAGCACCGTATCCAAAGACAGCGAATCAGCAGATAAATTCATACCGGCTCGCGAAGCGGTTGTACGTTTCGTGCAAGATTCCATCGCATAAGCGGTAGACTGACAAAAGAAAATTCTGACAAGAGTGAAAAGGCAAATGTTCCTGTTAATCAATAAAGGTGACTTTTCCTAATACATACAGTAATCCACCTTGACACATAGTGACTAGCGTGAGTGGTAACAAGTAACTACCCGAGTTTTTCGGTTCATTTCGTGTGCTGCGACGCTAAGGCAACGCATACACGATTGAACTGCCACAAAAGATCCACACGAATCACACGTTTTCCGTTGGTCGCCTTAGGCTGCATTACCAGTACGTGACTTCTTCCAATGGAAAAATCCCTTGCGCTCAAGCATCTCCAATATATACTTGTGCTTGTGGTGCTGTCCGCGCCTGAAGATCGGATATCTAATCCTGACGAGCCTTCACGAGATTGTCGTGAAGAGAACGCTTTGCCCGCTCATTATCAAGCTGGGCGTTAACAAGTTATAATCGACCCCCTCTCCCGTTACGAAGAAAAACGGTTTACACTGCCGAGCAAATATTTACATTTGCCTCTCTTGTGATCGTGTTCCTCGCGCAACTTACACGTTAAGAGCTCGAATTAAGTCACAGTATTAGACTGGACCTGAAATCTGCATGGGAAATGTTTCCTAGGCCGCTTCATACATTGATTGATGCGGTCGGTGTCCAACGTTTCCTCGTGTGACGCCTGTTGAACCAGTGCGATGTGAACGGACGTCGGATAAGTAACCTCGTCATGATGATCCGGGTAGTCAACCAAGTCAAGTACTTTGAGCCATCGCTATTAGCTGCTTGTTGATGATTTATGCCTTTTCGAGCAGTATTACAAGGCGCATCGATGCCAAAGGAAGCCCATTAAACGCTCAGCGCACTTGTAGTGGAGCTTTAAATTATCTTCTCACTCGTAATCCCTTGAGTGACACGTACCCTCGACCCGGGGTTAGTCATCGAGTAGTCTTCTTTTGGAGCCTGTGCTAAATAATTCATTCAACTTTGGCGTGTATCAATCCAAGAGAGGCATGGCAGCTATGTCGCTCTTCACAATCGTTGTAGTTTAAAACGTTCACCAATATAGGTCAATTTCTCAAACCGATTTCGAGCTAGCAAAAGCTTGTTTAGCCAGACATCACGCCTATTCTTACTAACGTTGTGGATGAAAGCGTTCCACGCCTAAATCGACGAGGGACCATCACGCTTATTATTCGCACTGTACCATCGGTGCTTAAAGAATGTGGTGGAGTGGCAATCGCTCATTTCCTGAGACGATCCCGAGGGGGGGTAAGAATTGACCTTCCGCCTGGCCAAACAATCCAAGGGCGAAGTTTACTTGAGACGTGGGTGACTCTCAATTCAACGGGAGGCCATAGATCCTGCCCGGGAGAAGTCGACGCGTGTCCTTCGTTGCAAATTTAATTCTGTTTAATGTCAACATACCAAACCTAAAACTTATGAATGTGGTTATCTGTTCGCTAGGTCGGCTGTCTATGTCATTCACCTTTTACATCCTGTGGTCCGCAGCAGATAATCCATAGTGGATCGCCCCATACCAAATCGTACAGTACCGGATCGTAGGGTACCGGATCGCGGAGTTCCGGATCGCGGAGTACCGGATCGCGGAGCACCAGATCGCGGTATGCGATCCACGGCGGGTACGTAATCTACCTCGATCATCATGACACACTCCGCTTGACCTTTACCCCTTCGTGACCATTAAGTGGGTTACTCTGCATAATTTCCACAGTCATTTTTTGTCACTCAGCCGTGTGACACCATCATCCTTGCCAGCGGGCCCATCTCGGTATGCGCTCCACCAATCAATTTGAATTTCGTACTTGAGGCGGATCGCGCGATCCACCTTTCGTCATTCTTCCTTTGCGCTTCTCCACAAAAACGTATCGATGAAGAATTTATGTTCAGTGCAAAAGCTTTTTGCGCTAGATTTAAATTTATTGAGCTTTGACAAATCGAAAAATTTAAATCGATAGCGATTACTCGTCGTGTCAGACAGATAAGGCAACACTCTTAAAGGATATAGCCACAGCTTCTTCTCAGGAGCAAATGCGCAAGATGTTGTGATGCTCATCCTCTGGCCTGGTGTCACTAGAAGTGCCGACACACTTGATCATCCCGATCAACTGGACTTTGATGAATGATTGCATCAACGTCAAGATCGTTCCGGCCTCTCTCGGAGACGGAGGTCGGACTCATCGGACGATTTACAGATATCACGAAGCTCTGCGCGGCTAATAACATTTCATAAAACCAAACTAGTCAACTTTATTCTCGCTAATTTCTGCTCAGTCTTGGCTTTCGCCTCCTTCGAGTTAGTCTCATTATTAGACTCGCCAGAGTGTGTAAGCTTAAGCCCATAATCTTCAATGTCACGCGGTGCATCATCGCGTGTGCCTGCGGTAGCGACTGCTTCAAAATAATTCGCGGAACCAGCAGACGACTTACTTCAGGTGCTTCTGGTTATCCTGGCTCTCCAGTGGCAGTGGAACGGAGTCTCATGGCTGTGTTCTCAGCAGCTTACGCTGCGCACCGTATGGACTTGTTTACCATGCGATGAGAACGAAGAATGGAGGGATTGACCAAAAAGTGCTTCCCTGTCCCAGAGCCACTCAAAGATTCACTTCATCATCATTTAGTCAATAATGTGACTGATGGTTAAGGATGGGGGTGATGTAACGGGTTGCTTCCGTCACATGATAATTTATACAGGGCAATAGTCAAATAAGAATATCATGTTTGGAAAAACACAATATTATTACAATATTATCACAATACTATCCTGATAAATTCTATTGTCTCGCAGATGTAACATCCTGCTCATTAGTTGATATTGGACCGATGTATCAACCTATAAAGTCTAGCCACGACAGAAGCACGCAATGACTGGTGCGCAGTTAGTTACAATACTGGTTTGTATTTAAACAAAGTTAAATGAAGTCGAATGAGGATTTATCAAAAGGATTGACGATACTGAATACAGTCCTACTTTTTACCTTTACTGAGTACTCTTACTCCATATAGCAGGATTCCTTTGCACGTACGTGTACGTGAGATAGTCGTACGCACAAAACCTCGCACTGTCAGCAGTGCAAGGTTTATTCAGTTAGCTGAATAAGGTGTGTCCCATTACAAGGGCAACGCGAAAGCCTTTGCTCTGAGCGTACAGTGTTTGTTTTTATGATAATATTCACCTTTGATCGATTAATAGCCAATCACAAGCATCCGAAGTCACTTTTTGGCTAGGTCACTATTGTAGTGCAATGGTGACCTAGCCAAAGAGTGACTTCGGAAATGTCTGTATCAATAAAGGGGACAGGCTAGATCGCACTTAGTACGTGAATGATTCACCTAACGGCGTTACTAAAAGACTGACGTATACTTATCGAGTACGTTCTTAAAGCTCGGCATTTAACCTCGCGCACAGTCACAGTTAGCTTCACCCTTCGGCCTCGCAATGAGTTTAGTTTGTCGAGTTAAACCTTGCGCTTCGATTCACAAATACGATTTGGTACATATGTTCAAATATTAGCATAACTTGCCACCAGTTTGGCGACCCTAGCTAAACCTAGAATCAGTCAAACTACAAACCTAGGAGCCCTCGTCGACGGCAAGCACCACTGGCAGCCAGCAGCTCCACTACCTTTGGCGCAATGGACGGCTTCTCGCTCAATATCTCAGCTTCGAGCGGTGTCCGCAAACCTGCGAAGAAGAGGAAGAACACCTTCCGTGTCAAACAGCAAGTCAAGCGTGCAAAAGCAAAGGCCAACAAGTCCGGCAAACCGCCTCCGAGACAGTCTTATGAGCAACGCCGTGACCATCGATCACAAGCACTGGACAATGCGTACGCATCACCAAATGATAAAGCGGCGCACGTGGCACAATTGAGGACAAAAGCGCCAATTGTCAAAGACGTCGCTGCTACTGCTGCTGTTGCTGCGTTTCAAGACACTGTGGACGAAGTTGAGCACGAGCACGTCAGTGAAGGCGTAACGGAGAAGACCGAGGAGACAGACGAGGTAGAAACTTACGTTGACAAAAAATCTCATGAGGTTGTCGTTGCTGTTGCTAAAGCGGCACAAGCAGAAGAAGTGAAGCCAAAAGTGTTTGGGACTCGTCGCAATCCCAACAAGGAAGATTACAATGTAGAGACGTTTACTCAATCTCGCGTCAAGATTGACGCGGTCTTGTCCAAGCCACTGACATCGTTGAAAAGCGAGAAGATTTTTGCTGCTCATACGTTCGAGTCTATGGATATGTCGGAAAAGTTGGTGAACGTGCTGAAAAAAGACACCGAGAGGGGTGGCTTTGGTTTTGCGCGGCCCACGAACGTGCAGGTCCAAACGATTCCGTCCGTTTTGAAAGGAAACGATATTCTGATCAAGAGCGAAACGGGGTCGGGTAAAACGCTGTCGTACTTGCTGCCTATTGTTCAGAAATTGCAGAATGTGACGCCGCGCATTCAGCGCCAAGACGGTTGTCTGGCGCTAGTGCTAGCGCCGACTCGCGAGTTGTGCACACAAATACTGGAGACTGCCAATAAACTGATCCAGCCGTTTGTGTATCTAGTACCGGGTGCTATTATTGGTGGTGAGAAGAAGAAGGCTGAGAAGTCTCGACTGCGTAAGGGAATCACCATCTTGATTGCCACTCCTGGCCGGTTGGCCGATCACTTGGTAAACACCCAGTCATTCAACTACACACGCCTGCAGTTCTTAGTACTGGATGAAGCAGATCGCTTGCTGGATATGGGTTTTGAGAAGCAAATTACGCAGATCTTGACCATCCTAGATGGCAAGAAGACAGCCCGGAAAAGACAGAACATTCTGGTGTCCGCCACCATCAACAGCGGGGTGCAGCAGCTTGCCACGTTGAGTCTGTCGAACCCTGTGCTGATCGATGTTGATGCAACTACCAGTGATAAAGACACACTATCAGAGGCCAAAGGGTCTGGTCAGGAGAAGTTTTCGACTCCGCATCAACTCATGCAGCACTTCATGCTCGTTCCAGCAAAGGCGCGTTTGTGTGCACTGACGTGCTTCTTACGTGAGGAGTTACGGAACACTCCTCGCGATGACAAGAATGGTAGGCCTGGCAAGTGTAAAGTCGTTGTATTCTTGTCCACGTGCGATGCGGTGGACTTTCACTACACGCTGTTCCGCAAGTGCGCGTGGCCGTCAGGAAAGGGGTCACCTGGAAACGACGACACAGCAGGCGAACAGAATGGCGTGGCCTCCCTGTTTGGCAATCAAGGACCCGTGTTCCGCCTGCATGGTAACATCCCGCAGCAAGAGCGCGTTACCACGTTTAAGAGTTTCTGCTCTTCAAGTTCCGGCGTGCTTCTCTGTACCGATGTGGCTGCCCGTGGTCTGAACTTGCCTACGGTGAAGTGGATCGTTCAATACGATCCGCCCACTGAGACCCGTGATTACGTCCATCGTGTTGGTCGAACTGCCCGAAGTGGCAACCAAGGCAGCAGCCTGTTGTTCTTGATGCCTTCTGAATCGGAATACCTTGAGTACTTGAGCAAGCAAGGCCTGAAGTTAAATGCTTTGAGTCTTGAAAAGACCGTTGCCCACGTTAGCAAACACGGTGGATTCTCGACAGCATCTCGGAAAAAGTTGCTGCACGAGGTTGTGCAAGGAGACTTGCAATTCTTGTACGAACAGACGCTCCTGGCAGACAAAGAATTATTCGAGCTGGCGTGTCAAGCATTCCACTCTTTCGTGCGCAGCTATGCCACGCACTCGTCGGACACAAGGCAGATCTTCCATGTCCGGAGTCTGCACTTTGGTCATGTTGCGAAGAGTTTTGCGCTGCGGGAGCCACCCGCTTCTTCGAAGCTGCGCGCGACTGGGCGAAATGCCAAAAAAGGTACGCTGCAAAAGCGCAAAGACCGTGATGACAAGCAGCATGCAGTGGTCGTCAAAAAGCAGAAGAAGGTGCGCGACGAGAAGCGTCGGTACGCGCAGTATGTGTCCGAGTTCGCCGACTAGTAGGCGTCCGTCGAACCAACCTGCAGTAAAAATAACTTGAGAGCACTGCGTGTTTTCCGCTTGACTTGTCGCAAGGGAATAATCATGTTATCGTGCAGCAATCACATCAAGTGCGTTTCCTCTTCTTTGGCTTCTGCTGCTTGTTGTTGTCGTTCCTGACAAGTTTCTGCTCGAGCACAGCCTTTGCTTTTGTCTTGTCCTTCTCAACAGTAGGAGCCAGCAGCAGTAGCGGCGCAAAAACCTCTGCGACATCCGTATCCTCAGCAATCTCGACAACCTTGCCATGTAGAGCAATCGGCGGTCTTGGAAAAGCACTGCAACAGTCAATCAAATACATCACCTCATGAGTAATTAACAGCAACGACTAGACAGACGACCAAGAACAAACAACAACAACCAATGCGCACAACTTGCACGTGGCTTACCGGAGAAGCGTCTGCAGTGCAAAAGCAGCACTGAAACATCGCTGAGCAACCATGACGTCACCAGACGCATGGCCATTAGCGTGCAGAAAGTGCTGCACCACTTTCTGTGACACAAGAGGGTTCTCCAGCTGCAGCTCCATGAATCGCGCGAGCTCGTGCACCACCGCGTCGCGTTCGTGCATCCACTGAACTTTGTGCAGCGCAAAGACGCGATGGGCCACGTCAAACGTGCCAATCACCTGCGGCTCCCAGTACTCGCCATCGTCTTCTCCCTCCTGGTCGGTCTTTTCTTCGTCCTCGTGGTGCGTCGTGCTCAAAGTCCTGTCTCGACCGTCCCGTGGCTGACTCTGATACACAAGCTCCACGAGCGTGTGCCGCTGCTCCTCGGTCTTACAGAGCGACAAGATCAAGTCGAGACCGTACCCCGTCACACCTTTTGGGAGCACCTGGGGACGCAATGTAGGCGCTAGCGCCGTCACGACGCCCTGAAGGTCCTGTACAGCCAAGAGCGGGTCACTCGCCATGATCGTGATGATGATCAAGATGGGATTTGTGGTCTAGTTACAAGTGGTGGAGCTGCCGGCGCTTCAAATGTGCTTTTTAGAAAAGATTGACCCAAAAGAGCGTCCCGCTCATGCCAAAACATTCTCATAAAACACTGGAGTTGCCCTATTTTAGCACGATTTGGGTAAGCATGATGGCAACAGCGCTGCCCGTGCAGGGCGCACAGACAGTAAATGTGCAGCTAATTCGGCAACGAATGCTCCAGGGTCTTCCACCGCAGAATGTGCAGGAATATCTATGGCGAGTACGACTCGAAGCTGAGGCTATTCCCGACGTCGTCGTAGCTTCCGACGTCGACCCAAGACAATTCGACGCCCAGCAGACCAGGAATATGCCGACCTTGCAGTCATTTGGAGTCAAATCGACGGCGACCGATCGACTTCCTGACGACAGGTGGACGAGAGATTTGCTAGCAGATTTCGCCGAACTGAGGCAATTGATTGCGCGTTGGGAAAGTACTGGGCCACCTCAAGCAGCGACCAGTAGAGCAGGAAACGGGTCGAATGAGGCTGTTCGCACGAATGTGCCCAAAATGAGCGACGAAGATGGATGGGTGCTCTTTTTCTTTGGGAAACCAGGGTTTGAGATGTTGGCGAGGCCGCCACATCTGAGACTGTTGCTGCAGTTCGACCAGGTGCTGACCAGGAAGTTGCTGGATTATCATGCTGCGTGGCTCAGTGAGGAGACGACGTCGCTCTCACGAGCGCGTGCAGTGTGGATGTATGCCTTGATGGCTCGTCTGGACAAGCCAGTTCATGCTGCTGTAGCAGCTACGATTCGGCAGATTCTACGACGCTGTTGGACCTTGAGGTGCGAGCTGGAAATGCCGTCAGAGGTTCAACTCAAGTCGCTCAACGTTCTAATTGTGATTACTGGGGATTTCTTTGGCCAATTGCACGATTTGGAGTAGCATGGTGATTGCAGCAGTATGGATTGACGCGAACGCTTGTTCTGGTGACTTTGCAATAGCGGTAGTTCAGCATTATCAGCTTGGCCCTGTCCTGAACTATCGTTTCGGTGAGCCTCTGGACGTTCAACTACTTTCGCAAGTGTTTTTAATGACCGAAGAGTGTCTGATCGTGTCGAACCCAATCACACTTAAAATCTAGACTATGGCTAGGCAACAGCCTGTCGACATCGACCTAAAGACGATCACTTTTGCTCCTGTCACCGAGCATTCGGCTGCATTTAAAATAAGTCATTTTGCCTCATGTCCGTGCCGACAGACAGACATTCTGACAAAGGCCGTTGCGACACGAAAGCGCCCTCACTCTAGTGACAGTCTCCTCAAAAGCTGACTACCAGGAGGATCCGATCCCTGATTCACGACACGAGCCGTGCAGTGCTCGGCAAAATGACGGCAGCCTTGTGCCGGACTTGGACATCTCTGTCTACTACTTGGCAGCATTTGCGTATCGATGTGCGCAGGTTTTGTACCGCCAATGTGGACCAGTACCTCGAACTGGAGCAGCTGCAAACCATTAAAAGGTCAGAGACTAGCATTTGTTGCGATGTGGTTGGCCATGTCAGAATTTGACTCGAGGTATTTGTGGTGCCATAGTGAAGCATTCTATGAGCGACAGGGTCAGCTTCGGCGATACTTTTACTACATTGATTTGCAGGTTTGTCGATAGGAGCACAGCTGGGTGTGTTGCTGAGAACTAAGTGTCTACAGCCGAGTGATGACAAGACCTTTTTGCCGCTGTATTGACTAGGGCCGTCTGTTTACGGAAGACACTCGGCCAAAGAACATTGCCACGTGTCTCAAGAGCGCCAAGTTCTTGCGGTTCTTCTTCTCGCAAGTGCGACCAAATGACATTGCCCGCTGCAAGTCGAAAGAAGAAGAAGAGTTGTTGGAGTATCCCTTTCAGTCCCCATGTGGCAAAGAGATGAACTACATCAAGTGTGCTGATCGCCCGTTTGTGTTTGAGGACTTCCAGCGAGATGAATGGGGAAAGTGGACGCTCGTGTTTGGGGGTGGAGGACTGACGATGCCATTTATGCCCGAAACAATGCGCATCTCCCTTTCAACGGGAAGACTGTACCACGACGTACGGACTAAACACGTAGCGTCTGGCACTTCTGAAAGCATCGCACTCGTAAAGTCTCAACTCGCCGTCGAGCTCAGCAAATACATTGACATGCACAGCTTTCCCGACGATCTCGAGTCTGTCGAGGATGTAAATGCGTTGAAACTAGGCGACTTCGAGTGGGAGGCTCAGCGCTACGCCATCCATGCCATGCCGTAAAGAAGTTTTTACTGATGTAGCCTGACGGATAAGTAGGAAGTATAGTCAACTACAGCACCTTGATCTCTGATCCTCAAGACGATATTCGATAATTTCGACCATGACGTTGCGTAACAGTCGCGTCGCATCGTTCACCTACAAGAAGGTGGCCAATTGCTGCCGTCGTGACCAATTGCCGCCGACTTCAGCGTCCATTACCAGCACGGTATCCAATCAATAGTAGCCTTCTCTCCATCACGTGTGGAATCGTCGTCGTCGGGTTTTTAGGACTCTGGTCATAGCAAAGACTCGCAACGGTCTGAGGTACTGGTCGTTTGCTGTCTCTGGGCTTCTTGCTTAGGATGCTTTGGCGGTCGAGAAAGTATGACAAACAAGACTGCAGATCAAGCGAAACAGACGCAATGCATGCGCATTGTTGGATCAAGGCATGAGACTTAGTACGGATGTTTCAAGGCTGTCGAAGCTCCTGTGACCAACTTGCCACGCGACGTTCAGCACGTATTGCTATACTTCCTGGCTTTGCATACAGAACTTAATACCTCACTACTGGTGACGTCGCTGAAGTGCTTTAGTACGCGTGTTTCAGCGAAACTTGTGTGAGCTGGGCCACAGGTTTGCAGATGTGCTTCCATTGCACATTGGCGGCAATTATTCTGCCGTCGCCGCCCACCACGATCTGTAAGGCTCGCTCGGTTATCGGACATCACAAAAGCCGCAAGTGTGCAGCCATCATGGTACACCTACGAATGTTTGACCGCACTGACTTATCGGAGCTGTATTTGCGTGACCACATGCGATCCAAGATGCAGTGGGCACTGACTTTACCGTCTATAAGGTCAGTCCCGGCTTTCGAACAAGGCGAAACGCGCATGTGTCATTTCCTAGTGTGGTACAAAGCGCTTTAGATTAAGAAAAGAGTAGTTACATGGTTGTCTCGAGTCAGTGTTGACTCACTGGCTATGAATGCGTCTTCTTTTCACAATTATCAGCGCCCACTCTGCTGCTGCGTGCGCACTGAGCCGGAACTAAAACGAATTAAATGCCAAACTTTGATGGTCTCGGGACTACTTTAAACGACCCTTAACGGTATCGCCCGACGCTTGAGATCAATTTCGACAGCATAGCGACACTACGGCTGCCCATCATGGATTGAAGTACCGAACAAAGAAGAATCAATAAACGATTTTATGCGAGTATGAGTACGTATTACACATGCAAAGGCTCTGTTTAACCACTTGGGCCACCACGCGAGTCACATCGCGGCAGCCGTCGAGACGATCACGAGTCTTCGTTCCGGGTCGAAATCAAGACAAGCTTCTTATTGCACTACACGCCCAAAATACGTCACAAGGTGGATGAGCTTAATACATCCGTTGAGGTTCAGACCATCGATCACACCATGACTCGCTTGGCTTTCAAAAACGAGTCAATCATCTACAAGCTCCCTTCCGCCTCGATATGTGCCTCTTCCTCACCTGCTCTCTCGAGAGTCGCTATTCCTGTTCCTTGGCTCGACTTTCCCACGCCCCCATTCGTACATCTCCAGCATTCAGTTGCACAAACTGCAGTGCCATTTAGGCACACAAAGCATGAATCAGCTTCAGCACTTGTCAAAGCACAAGCGTTCTCTTGCACGACATCCGCCTCGGCATTCATTACCTCCATAGCGCCTGTCAGGAGCTAACTCAACAATTCCACTGAGTAGCGACATTGTGAGCAAAAGATTGCTACGCCTAACACAGCTCGCGTGTATGTCTCTGAACGGCGACACTTTGAGTGCTCCGCCAGCTCCATTGCAGACGGGCTTACGGACGATGAATAGAGACAGAGCTTCACCAGAGGTGTATGTGTGTCACATTCTTACAATTGGTTTGCGAATCTGGCTGTGGGTGGACATAATTACAGTGATGCTTTGCGATCATACACAGCTATTTCAGTACATGGTGTGGAAGGCGGAGTTGTCATTGCGGACACTCCCTTCCGGGTCAACGCCCCAGCTGCCAGGTTTGGGAGTTTTAGCGGATATTTGTTTGGCTACTGTAAGTTCTGGAAGTTTTTAGTTTCGTTAGCACAGGATAAAGAAAGATCTCAAATCTAGATTGGATAAGCCACTGACGAGACCTCAATTTAACGGGTGAGCCTGTTACATCTAAGTAACCTTGATACTTGTTATTATCATGAAGCTGATAAAGTTCGTGAGAATGACCAAATGTCCAGAAACACTCACCAATTGGCTAGTATGGGCCATCATACCAGCCAGCTCTGGAGGTCCAATCAACGATGGACGCGCGCATTGAGTGGTAAGCAAGACTTTAGCAAACACTATTCGTAGCTTAATTTAATTAAGGTAGGACTAAAACATAGGCTAATGATTAGGACTAAATTTTAGCTAGTACAGCTCAACTTTCTACTCGGGAAACGTTAACCACCCCCACCCCCTATATTAAACCGTAATATATACCTTCCATATTTTTGATTGATTATAAATAAAATGTCATATTGCTAAATACTGAAAGCCAATTCCAACACAATAATTGCATGATGTAATCGCTTACACGCTATTTTTTTCAATTGTTGAATAATTTCTTTCAGCGCTTAAACACTGTAGTCGGTCATTCTCATATGGCTCTGCTACCACCTCCTGAAACTACATACGATACGCTAGAGGAAGCCCGAAATGCACTTAATGAACATGCAAGAGCTCAAGGCTATGTCCTAACGATCAAGCGTACCAAGAAGGTGGGTAAGAGGAAAAATGGCGCAAATTAACGTATTATTCTATGGTGTTCACAGGGAAAAATTACAAGCCAGTCGCTGTTATGGAAGTGCCAGAAAAGAGAACGATCAAGCGCATAAGTGCTAGTAGAAGCACTGGGTGCCGTTCTGAAGCTGACTTTCCACGCATAGATGAGCGCTGGCGCGTTACGAATCTTTTTGATATGGAGCAGGACGCGCTGTTGTATGAAGAGTCAGTCGACAATGCGTGGGATAGAGAGCAGCCGCGATGTGCATGCCGATGGGAGGAGGATAAGCCACTACCACCACCATTAAATTACGCGTTAGTCTAGTTAGTCAATTATACACGTATTACGACTACACACATACCTCGTGATAGACCTCTGCAGCTGGCTAAAAGTCAATTTCGAATGTAGCATTAATTAATGCCTTTGTTACAGTGTCCATCCAGGAAATTGCAGTATCTGACATGTAAATTATCACACGTCGCCTGTAACGGGGCACCCTGAAGCTTGTACTGGTGACAGTACAAGCTACTTATTCTGATAACAGAATAAGGCGGTGCCTCGTAACTTCACGTACACTCGTACGTGCAGAGGAAGACGGTAAGAAGAAGCGAGTACTTGGTTAGAGTAAAAAGTAGAACTGTATTTATAATAGTTAATGTCTGCAATAAATCACTATTCATCTTCATCTAACTATGTCTAAATACAAATGTGTAAATCAATTATCTGCTCACCACTCATTGCGTGCGTCTGTCGTGGCGCGTCTTCGTTGGTTGATATAATGGCCTATATCAACCAATTAGGAACTACTTGGAAGTGCTACAGAATATTGTCCTTATGACAATATTCTGAGAATATAACTCTTATAGTTATCTTCTATTAACAATTTCTTATAAATTGTTATGTAACGATTCACCCCGTTACATCACCCCCCTTAACCATCAGTCACTTTAGTGACTGATTGACTAAATGGATACTCGTCCCAAATCATTTGGGACGGGGTTTGCACTTGTTGGTCCGCGTCCACTTTCCAACATCTCATCGCATGGTAAACAAGCCCATGCGATGCGCGAGCAAGGCCGCCGAGAGCGCGTCTGCACGTCTCTGTGCGGACGCCGAAGCAGAAACTACAGCAACTGATGTCCCATCGGTTGCTGAATCGACTCAGCCTGTATCACCTGGTGATGCAGGCGCTGGTCATGAAGACACTCGTGTCTTCACAGAGTACGAGCTCGGTGTCTCGTACTCTCCTGATACGGATGACGGATCCGTATCGACGGCAATTGAATCCAAGCCGCCTGCCAAGCGTGGCATGGACGATGCTTTGCGTCGCAGCATCTTTGGTTCATCTGATGAGTCAGATGAACCATCGCCGAAGCGAAGGCGCTCGAGGTCGCGAGACTCGGGCGCTAATAGTGGTGTCGTTTCTCCAATGGACACCACTTCACAGCGAGGTGCCAGTACTTCTGTCGGCACTTCGCAGGAAGAGCGGGACCGCAATGTGTTGCGTCTCGCTCCAGAAAAGAAGGCATGGATGCCTCCTAAATCTGTCATGGATCACTTGTCGGCGACGACGAGTGATCGTTATCGAACACGATTGTTCGATTCGTCGAGGATTCATCACCTTGACCCCAGCGCGAAAGACTATCGCGCTGAACATGAGTTCTTCATCGATGCTTTCTTCAGACATCGATGGTACAGTGGGAATCACAAACGTGATGGTCCCTCACTACTTCAGGCGTGGAACGCCTACATCCATAATCTCGAGGATGTAGGTCGTGACGCTTGGAACGACAAACTTATCAAAGCTCGTGATAAGTTTGAAAAGCGAACCCCGACAGGTGCACGCTATAAGCTGCATCGTCTGTCAAGGGAGAAAGGATTACCCTGCCTCTCTTGGGGAGACTCGTGCCCATGTTGTGTGAACAACTCTGCACGAGCACCTAAGGAGGCTTACCTCCTTACCAGCCCGTGGTGGCGCGTACGTGTCTCTACTGAGATGTACGAAGGGATTGACAACCTGAAATCCCTTTACGACCGTGCCGGGAAGACTTTCTCCGGCGGTCCTTCTGCGGCACAGGATGTGTCGCGTCGTACTGCTCGACCAGACCCAGTACGTCAACCATCAATTGGGAGCGGGGCTCCCAAGAATCCCAGGACGGGGGATAGCCGCGCCACCGGACGAGGTAACTCGTCCGACGTCCGTTCACGTCGCGGTGGTTCAACAGCTGCTCTACTAGATAGCGCTGGCCACCGCGA